AGCATCACTGCTGTTATTCGCATTAACAGAAGAGGAAAGCCAAGCTTGGAGGGAGGGAGACCCTTCCCAGGGTCGAACGGGCTGACGCAGCAGAAGCAGGATTTGAACCGAATCCATCTGCTCCAGAACCTGTTCCCTTAGGTACTGTATTTATACTTCTGCGGCACTAATCTTCTGCCAGTATCTGTTATATCTGACTAAGAAATGAGAGGTACAAAAGGGGACAGCAGAAGTGATGCTTTCTCAAGGCACATGGCGACCTGTTTGGCCACAGAATGGTGTCTGGAAGCCACAGGTCCCCACTGGCCGTGAGCAGGTGTCTGGAGAGGCGGATGAACTCAAGGAGTGTGACTTTTCTGGCAGCCACACACATGCAGCAAAGAGTCAGCCCGGTCACTGTCACAGTCAGATGACAAGAACACCTGTCCAGAGGGCAGGGCCACGACCTCCACGCGGTGTCTGTCTCTGGTCTCCAAGCACACTCTTGCTCAAAAAAAAAAAAAGCCTTGTGAGAAGAATGTGTAGACCTCATTCATCTTGATTTAAATAATGCCTGATGGCTCTCCACTAACTCATGACCAAAGCTGAGGTGGTTGTGTTTTTTAAAAAGCATTTGGCAACCCAAGACCCTTAGCTGTTATTGTTGTTAGGTGCCGTCGAGTCAGCCCTGGCTCATAGCAACCCTATGGACAACAGCCCCAAACACAGCCGGCTCCTGCTGCACCCTCATCAACTCGGCGCTGCTGAAGCCCAGGGCCGCAGGCACTCGTGTCAACCCATCTCCTCCGTTTTGCTGACCCTCTACTTTTCCAAGCATGATGTCCTTCCCCAGGGGCTGACCCCTCCCGATAACACGCCAAAAGTATGTGAGATGAAGTCTCGCCATCTGCCTTTCCAAGCAGCGCTGTGACTATACGGCATCCAAGGCGGGTTTGTTTGTTCTTTTGGCAGTCCATGGTATATTCCAGACTGTTTGCCAACCCTGCAATTCAAAGGCATCGACTCTTCACAAGCCCCCTGGAAGATTTGGTAAAGGCTGTGTGGATTAGCCCTCTCCCCAGAGGAAAATTCCTACATGCACAATTTGGGACGACATATCTGAACATCGGAGGTCTTCGGCCCCAACTGTTGACTAACAACTATTTGTTAACTGCTTCTTATGTGTCAAGAAGCCCTGGTGGCTCAGTGGTCACACTCTGGCCTTCCATCAGGACAAGAGAGTTCAATTCCCAGCCAGTGCACCTCATGGGATGCCCCACCTGTCATGTCAGTAAGTAGAGGAGCTTGTGTGTTGCTGTGATGCTGAGGAGGTTTCAGCAGAGATTCCAGGACAAAGACAGACTAGAAAGAAAGGCCTGGCAATCAAGATCCAAAAACCAGCCAGTGACAATCCCAGGAATCATAAGCCCCTGTGAATTTGTAAGTGGGACAGCAAAGAACTGAAGAGCATCTCTTTCCACTGTGCGTGGTACTGTTCACTTGTTAGAGGCTGATGCAGTAACTACATACCAGGCACTGTGCTCGGAGCATACCACCCACCCTCACCCCCAGTGCCATCAGGTGCGCTCTCACCTGCATGACCTCCATCAGGCTCCTGAAACTGTAAATCTTCAGGCAAGCAAGATGCCTCCTCTTTTTAGGAGTAGCTGGAGAATTGAAAGCATGGACCTTTTGACTGGCAACCTGACACCTTTCACACTATGCCACCAGGGCTCCTGGCTCTAGGAACATCAAGGGGGAGGGGACAAGTAGACAGAGCCCTGCATGCCCAGAGCTCAGAGCTAGAAGAGAAGTCGGACAAGTAAACCACCCCCATGAAGAACAGCAAGGGCCAAGGCAGCGAGCACAACACACTGAGAAATCGTTCCTGTATGTCTGGTGTCAGACAGAGACTGAATGGTGAGTAGAAGTCTGTTTCACAGGAGAGGAGCAGAAAGCCCAGGAAGATGGACACCCACAGAGACACCCCCCCCCAAAGGGGCAGCAGCTGCACGCAGGGTGCTGAGGACAGCCAGGGTGGAGACGGGTCAGTCTGGTGAGCTGTTACACGGGGTACATACGGGTTTAATTTGCAGGGCCACAGAATGTCTTTGAAAAGTTGGAAACAGATGCTTGAGTTTCTCCAAAGTTCGCCATGAGGTAAGGAGGGCAGACTACGTTAGAGTGAGATCAGATGCAGGAAAGAACCCGCAGGGTCGGTAGGTCAGGGAAAAAGCCTCAAGTTCAAAGTCGCAGGTGGCCAAGGCTCTGTGGAGAAGCTCCACACACTGTCTGAAGGAGTGACTGGGTCACGTCCACCTGGTCACATGGAGACAGTAACGCAGATGGGACTCGAGCTGGTCAGGCCACTCACTGTGGGGACCCTGAAACTTGCTCCCATCTAAGGCATCTGGACAAGACTCTGCTGGCTCTGAGAGTCACATGCTGACCTACTCAGACACCCCCCTCCCTCCTGATGTCTCTTAGGGTTCAGTGGGCCTGGAGTAGACCAATATGGCACATCTGCTCATAAATACCTCCTTTATTACCCAGCAGCAGTGAGGGGCCTGCCACACATCTCAGCTGCCTCTTTGACTTTTAGGTGCCCTTCAAAGGTCAGCTTGTCCCTTGAAGCCCCAGGACTCCAGCAAAATGCTGTTCCTTGGCTCCTTTGGCAGATAGCACACATTTTAAGGTCAAGGATTTTTATCTCGTGATGCGCCTCACAAATGAACATGCAGTAAAGGTTATCAGATGGATGGGTGGGTTTCTTTGTAAGCACATTTCTTCTTGTGAGGTACAAGGCCAAGAGATCTGAACCGTGCACCATCTCACTATCTCGGATACACTCCAGTCCACTGCGCCAGTCACTGGATCGGTTCATCTGGGTGAACTCTCTTTCTCTGACCCCCTCACCTTCCCAGGCATGCAAATAAAAACCATTCATTAATTAAATCAACATTAGTTAATCAGCTTGTTCTTTGATTTAATCTCTCCTGCAAGCATTCTGAGAGTAAATGACCCACAGAGATGCTAGCTCAGCCTCTTCAAAGCTGGCTTCATTCCTTCCTGGGGTCTGGGGACCGGAGTCTCTGGGGACACCACGGTCAGCTGGTCCAGTGTAATCCACAAACACAGTGCTCCACAGCTTGCTCTGAGGAATAATAGCTCCTGGATCCCCAAAGTCTTGCAAGCACCATCTAAGGCGTGATTCTTGGTCTCTCCTTGTCCAGACCAGGAAGAAAGATGGAGAGAAGTTGTTGTTGCTATTGTTATGTGCCGTTGAGCCGCTTGTGACTCATAGCGACCCTATGTACAACATCCGTAAACCCTGCTCTATCCCATGCCAATCGCACAGTCTCCAACATACCTACCCCCACTACCCCAGTCACTGAATCAATCCACCTCAATGAGGGTCTTCCCCTCCTGCGCTGTCCCTCTACTCTACCCAGCATGATGTCCCTCTCCAAAGACTGGTCCCTCCTTGCAACGTGTCCAAAGTGTGTCAGACGAAGCTTCAGAATCATTGCCTCCAAGAAGCAGCCTAGTTTAACCCTCTCCAGGACAAACCTGTTCATTTTCTTAGCAGTCCATGGTACATTCAATACTCTTCTCCAGCACCACAGCTCAAAGGCATCAATTCTCCTTCTATGGATTTAAACTTAGTCCAAAGGTCAAATGGACTGTGGAACCTCAGCCTTGGAGACTGGAAAATGTAAATGGGGCCTGGCAGCTACTGTTCACCACTCTGAAAGGGAGCCCAGTAGATGGCCCTGGACACAGCGGGGGACAAATGTGGAAAAAAATGCAAAAGCATGCAACGGGCTGGGCTGACGAGCCTGATGGAGTCTACTGGGACTCCTGAGACCGTGGCCCCTCGTCGTCCTTTAAGCCACTTGTGTGGCTCGTGCCACTGCTGTAAAACGGGACTGACATCGGGGTTGGCGGGAGACTAAGAAAGATGGGATAGATTATGTATACTGTGTTGAAACAGATGAGGGAGAGAACTGTTTAAAAGGGATGTGTGATCAGGTATTATTGTCATGACAGGAGTCCAGAACAAAGGCTGCACAGTGGAGTGGACCTGGGTGGAGGGATTGTAGAACAATGAAAAAATTTTTCTTTAACTTTTCAAAGAGAAGAGCGAACTTGGAGGGGGGGGGGCAGGGAGAAAAGTGCAACAATGAATGACTGGAAATCCAAAGTCTCTATAAACTTTCATTAGAATTAAGAAAATAAAAACATTTTAAAAGAGAAAAAAAAATCCCAACTCAACTGTCCTCGCTACAGTGTCAGCACTAACTCGTAGCTGAACCTCGATTAGGATCCCAAGGCCACGGCAGGACGAGAAGCATTTGCCCATCTCTCTATCAGAGCAGCTGCCGCCAGGAGCTGCCACCCCCCTGGATTCAAAGGCCTGGAACGGATTAGCAACGAGATTGCTTATGGACCACTGCAGTGATTGCTTATGGACCACTGCTGCTTCTGCTGTGTGTGCCGTCAAGTCGGAATCCACCCACAGCTCACCCTCTAGAGGGTTTTCAGATGCCATAAACTGCACCGAAGAGTGTCATTCCTTCTCCCGCAGAGGCGCACCATCGGGATTGCAGAGCAGTTTCTTACCACTAGGCCCCAGAGCACTGTGCCTATAGAAATGTCTAGTCAAACAATAATAGATAGGTCTCCGAAGGGAACAGTAACATCAGCTAGGCATTCCTTCCTTCCAACAATCAACAATGGGAGATCAAAAGGGCAGCATTTGTCAAAGGATAAAGCTCAGAAGGCAGGAAAGGGTACGACAAAAGGATTAGCAGAGATGAGAGTCATGGGGAGGAAGCAGGAGAAGTGCTTACCCTGTGTGTGCCGCAGGTAATGTCATGAGACAGAATGTGGATGAGGAGTTGAAGAACCAATCTGCCCTGTCAATGTTCACTTAAATCAATCTCTCACATTCTCTCTCTCTTTCACACACACACACACACAGAGCGTTGGGGTGGAGGGGGTGTAGAGAGAAAGCTCACCTCATTCCTTGCATGGCCATCTTATCAAGGTTGGTCGTGTCCTTAGTCTCAGCCCAGTTTGCTCCTAGGTCACCCCACCCCATGTCATCAGCCAAAATGACCACGAAATTTGGTTTCTGGCCTCTGCTTTTCTCACTGGAGCGAAAATCCACAAGAGGATAAAACAATCCCAAGACACTCAACCCCACTGTCAAAGCCTTTAGGAAAAGCCAGCCCATGGTGGCGAGGGCAGGAGTCCAGGTGTCTGAGGTGAGGGAGGGTGACTTCGAGAAGTCCCTTCTGTCACTCAAAGTAGGAGGTCCTTGGAGAGTGGCAATGGGGCTTGCAGGAAGACAGAGGGACAGTGGAGTAGCAGAGATGGTAACAGGGACAGCTGTAGGGACTACAGCAATGACGTCTCCTCCCCGACAGAGGACTCAGGCCTCGGGACTCTGGCCCTCTTGATTCGACTTAACTCTCTTCTGGAAACATCCCACCACACAGCTCAGGTCTACGTCTGGTGCACTGACACCTGGTCATTGTCATCTGAGGTCTGTGCCTGGGTTTATCTATCACAGCCAGTCAGGAAGCAACCCTTCGGCGCTAGGGACGTTGGAGCCAGGCCTTTGCATCTGCCTGGGAGTCCAGCTGGCAGCTGCCGGCTCCCCACGCACATCTGCAGAACACCTGGATGTTCTAGAAGCCGCAGTCGGCCCCGAGCACGAGTCTACGTTCCAGATGGCTGAGGGCTTCGTGTTTCTGAAAGGTTTCCTGAAAGAACAAAAATTGACAAGAAAACAGCGTTAAACTGGCCGGTGCAGCTGTGTTTTACTCAGTAGCTTAGGAAATAATGGCTTTTCCACGCCAACAGATGTTTTCCTTCTTATGCGACTGTTTTAACTTTTTCATCAGTTTCTCCACCTGAAAACCAGGGGTGCTAATGATATTTGTGCTGGGCCTGCAGCCGCAGGGCTGCAAGCACCTCCTGAAACTGCTTCTCACCCCTCCCACTGCACAGGTGAGAACACTGGAGACAGCATTCTGGGCACAGCGAGGGCCAGCACACGGCTCTGCCAAGCCCCAGGTTGATGCTTCCTGTCCCCGCATCACGACCACACTGCCCTGGTCCACAGGGCATTCCCAAGCTAGTCACTGCCTTCTCAAGCCCTTGGTGACCCTACAGTAAAGGGGGCAACCTTCCTTCCTGAGTCAGAACTCATTTGAAATAAGGCTTGCTGCCAACTAAACTTTCTATACATTGTTCTTCATAAAACGTAACTGGGGCAGAGGGAAGGAAACATCTTTTTAAAAGAAAGTGAGCTCTGGTGGCCTAGTGGCAAGAAGCTGCATAGTAATCCCGAAGGCACGTGGTTCAAATACACCAGATTCTCCTCTGGTGAAGGAGGGGCAATCTCTTCCCATGCCAGGAGGATTAGATTCGACGGTACAGTACCAGCACCAGCACTAGCACCAGCACCACCACCACCACAATAACAAAGGGAATGGGAGATGAAACTGAATCTTGCTGCATGCTTGTAACGTTTCACAATGGAAATGTTTAAGAAAATGCAAAATGTGCAACAATGAATGAATAAAAACGTGATTGTTCTCTAAATGTTCATTACGATCACAATTAAAATAAAATTTTATTAAAAAGGAAAGGAAACGCATCCCTTTAAACCTTGACTGTGGCATCCTCACCAAGAACATCTAGACACACAGCACAGCGGTGCTGTCCACAGGTGAATGGACATATGAGTCAGCTAAGAACATAGTAAAAGGCAGCTTCTGTCTGTACGTCTAGGGCTGGGATTTGAGTCTTTCTTTCTTTCTTTCCTTCCTTCCTTCCTTCCTTCCTTCCTTCCTTCCTTTCTTTCTTTCTTTCTTTCTTTCTGGATTTGAGCCTCTAACACGCTCTCGGGCCAGCCTGCACTGCTGGCCCTTGGACAACAGTCTGAGGAACAAGATGCTGGAGAACAAAATTTTAGGCCTGGTTGTATAGAAGGGCGGCAATGCTCAACCTCCCTCAAAACGGCTCAGCATCTGTGAGCAGCAGAGGCAACAAACCACACTGAGTTGTCTTTTATCAGAGTGAGTTTACAAAGGAAGGAATACAGGGTGTATCCATACGGCTCTGAAGGAGAAAGCCAGGCAGTCTCCGCCAGTGAGATTTACAGCCTCAGTTCCAACTCAATGGTAATGACTCGAGTTGCGTTCAGCTGACAAATGTAAATGAAGCAAAAGATAAACCATAGCACTCCGACTGTTGCTGTGTCCCCTAGCTGCCCCTCCAGTGTGTTTTCAGAGGCAGTAGATCACACAAAAAGAGACTGCTTCTCTTTCTCTGGTGGAGCAGCTGGTGGATTTGAACTGTGTACCTTTGTGTTGCAACACAATTCCTTACTGCTAAGTCAACAGAGCTCTCTATATCACCCCTAGTTCATTTCAAAGCCCCAAATTTACAAGGCCACTAAGGACAATGGAGCCCTGGTAGAGTAAATGGTTCAGCATTTAGCAGCTAACAGAAAGATTGATGATTCAAATCCATGCAGCTGCTCCATGGAAGAAAGGCCTGGCTGTCTACTTCTCTAAAGATCCTCGCTGTTGTGTGTCACCTGGTCGATTCCAACTCAGTGTTCTCTAAATTGACTCCAACTGGTAGGGCAGGGTAGACCCACCCCATGGGTTTACAGGCTGTAATCTTTATAGAAGCAAATTGCCACATCTCCCTCCTAGGGAGCAACTGATGAATTCAAACCATCGACCTTTCTGTTTGCAACCAAACCCTTAACCACTGCACCAAGTGGTGCTGTGTTGTTGTTAAGTGCCATCGGATCGTAGATGGCTCATAGTGACCCTATGAATGAAAGACCTGAACAGCTGTATAACTTTCATCGTTTCTCCAGGTTCATAGGGTTTCCAGAGGCAAGCTATTATGGACGTGGATGCCACTCCTGCTTCTAAGCTTGTTTTAATCGGGGAACTCCACCAAACACTGTCCACCATGGGTAACCATTATTGCATTCAACACATCAGTGTCACAGTGTTTAGCATCACAGCGACCATGAGTCACAGCAAACGGACAGACAAGTGCTATACCACCTAGAAGAATGTTTGACCAAAAACAATTAGAACCAGGCCTGAGGGTTGCAGATTAAAATAACCCACCTTTGGCTTCGTAGCATTCACTTTATATCCACTAGGCCAACAGAGCTCTCTCATCGTTGTTATTGTTATTAAGTGCCGTCCAGTCACAGACAACCCATCGGGACGCTATGAATGAAAGACTTCAACACTTGTATAACTTTCATCCTTTCTTGAAGTCCCTAGAGTATTCAGAGGCAAGCTATTTTGGAAATGGATGCCGCTCCTGCTTCTGAGCTTGTTTTAATCAGGGAGCTCCACCAAACACTCTCCACCATGGGTAACCATTATCACATTTGACCCATCAGTGTCACAGTGTTCAGCATCACAGCAACCACAAGTTACCTTTGTGCAGCAAATGGACAGACCAGTGCTATACCACTTAGAAGAATGTTTGAGTCATCTATGACTCGACAAACAAAAACATAGAGTTCTGTTGGCCCAGTGTATAGAAAATTATGTTACAAAGCCAAAGGTGGGTGATTTTAATCTGCAGCCCTTAGGCCTGGTTTTAATTTTTTTTTTGTCAAACTGCTCCAAAAGGGCTCCTTAAAGAAAAAAAAACTCTATTTTTTTCACAAGAAAACTCTACACACACTCTGCTGTACACATGGAGTCAATGTGAGTTAGAACTGACTCAAAGACACTCAACAATCACAACTAAGGAGACATGAGGGTTGACATTCTGGGTGAATTACAAACCTCTGTTGAACACCCAACTCTTCATGGTTGGAGAATCAATGGATAACATATAATGATGTCAATAAGGCTAGGCTTACAACACACAGTATTTCCAAATCTGGCGTCCAGCCCTTGAGGAAAGCCCACTGACTAAGCCAATGGTCAGTCCATGAGGAGGAGATCTGTAAATTCTGGAAGACGTAGATAAACTCCAAAGGATGGGCAGATACACACTTAATCAAAATAAAAGGAAGGCCAAGTAAACAGTTATGCTACTCTCAAGGCCAATGAACCAATTGTTCAAAAATGCAAATTCTTCTATTTTCAAAAAAAAGGTTCTTATTTCAAACTCAATTAGATTCAAGTGCTATTTGTTGATCTTGAGGCCTTCAAGATTTCTTCTTTTCTAGAAGAAAGAGCCCACGCACTGGGAAGGCGCTTAACGGACACCTGCTGGCCACTTGGTCGAGTCCCAGCCCTCTTCTCCGGCCTTCTGACCATGAGCAACAGCCATTAAGAGGCTTTTCTTCTTAAAGTTCCTCAGTTCAGAACGCTGGGGCGGCCTCATTCCTCATCAATAATGCATTTTGGAATGACCCAGTGCAGACTTCAGGTAAAAAGTACGACTTAAGAAAGAAGCTAAAAATAAGTAAGGTGGGAATACAAGCAGACTTTGTTTTTCTTTGGAGTTCTGTAATAAAACAATCCTTTGAGGATTTTCAAAGAGAATCATGAATACTTAAAATTTTCATAGGATGGAAAGAACCTAATTTAGCCAGTATGCCATTGAATTATCTTTCACACTCACACCCATGAGATATTTAAGCCGCAGCCCCTCTCCCCGCCCGCCCCCACCAGATCTTTTTAAGTAAAGGGAAATGTAGCCGGCCTTCAAGAATGGACTTTCAGCAACAAGCTTTGATCAAAGTCTAAGCTGAGACTGTGAACTCAGATGTCCTAAAGAAGCTGGCCCCAGCTGTTGCCCTCTGACCTCATTTGCTATTATCTTCTCTCCGTTTTCTCCAAGGAAGCCTTCTTCCCAATATGATGTTCTTTGTGATTTTAGTGAAAGTTTACAAAGTAACTAGTTTTTCCTACATTGATACTCATTCTTCTGCCCAATTAACTTTGTAACGCTTGTCCTGTTCCAGATTGTTGTCATACACACGATGTCTAATTGTCCGTTCTTTTCATACAAATAATGTCTAAGAGTCTTTTGAGATCTTGCCGGGCCTTTAAAAAAAAAAATTACTAAGCGAGCTAACCTGTTGTTCTGCTTAACATTGGCTTCGTGGATAGTCTTGGCTCAAGATTTAAATGTTTATTTCTAGAAAAGATTCTAGGGTCCCTCAGCCTTGATGGATCCAGTATGTCTGATTTCCATATAAACTTAGAAATCTGTTCCCCCGTTTCC